CAAGAGCAGACATTTTATATTCTGTCTGCTTTTTTGCACTGGTGCAAGACTGGCCTGTAGAGAATGAGTGATGTCTGGATTGAGAACTTTTTATTTAATATCATACTTTCCGGGGGGGGGGGCAACGAAGGACTGAAATACCCAAGTCATCCAACCTAAATATCTGGGGCTTTCCGATCTGCTAGTCCCCTGGAGTGCAGAGCTAGCCTTTTGTTCTTACAGTACCTGCGACTATCCTCTGTAGAAAGTCACCACATCTCTTCTACTCTTCAGGACTTCTGTGTCTCTCTCTGGCAAATGCAGCTCTCTGAGGAGTCATGCTCTTATTTGCTGTGTCTACAGTGTGGGACCCAGCTGCTCTGTGGTGGGCCATGGTGGAGAGTGAGACGAGGCACCTTTTGGAGCAATCCACTTGCCCATGCCTCTGCATTTGCTTCCAAAAGAAGCCAGGGTACCTGAGAGAATGACACAAACCCAACTTCTGTCCCGCCTTACGGCCAGGACATGGCTGAGTTATACATCCATGTGCAAAAACTGCCATGTACGACTCTCCACAGCCATCAGCTCTGTGTCAGAAGTCTGCCTGTGGAAATTAATAATCTGTGTGAGAAAATTGTTATTTGCCGTCCTCTGTTTTAACCAGCAAGTTCTCCTGAAAGTTTTCCAGAAAGATTCTCTCTCTGTCTTTTCCTCCTCCCTGGTTCAAAAGTAGGGAGCCCCGAATCAAAATGCTGGTCCCAAGGGGTATCTGCAGAATCATAGGGGCCCACAAGCCAAAAAGGGAAATTCATGTCTTTTCAACATCTGCTGATGGATGAAAGTGTCATTTGCAGGGAAAAGCTCCAAGCTGGCAATGGTGAGAGCATCGCACAGAATGGTTGCATTCATGCTGAGCAGCTCTAGAGCTGTCATCATCAAACCAGGCCTCCGTGTTCTCCGATACCTGACATAATTTGTGAATAATGAATAGGGCCAGGTCCCTAATGATCTCCAGGTGTGATTTAACCTGGATTAAGCCTTCCACATACTGTATTTAGTTCTTGCAAGGTCATTTCACTTCTAATAAGTGTTGGTTTGCACATGCTCAGCTGTGTTCTTGTCCTTTAATGCAGTAACTGACAGATGGTAGCAAAATATCCTTTTATAAAGAAACCTGCTGAAGTCCTCTGTTTTAACCAGCAAGTTCTCCTGAAAGTTTTCCAGAAAGATTCTCTCTCTGTCTTTTCCTCCTCCCTGGTTCAAAAGTAGGGAGCCCCGAATCAAAATGCTGGTCCCAAGGGGTATCTGCAGGGTTTGTCAAGCCCACAAGGGAAATTCATGTCTTTTCAACATCTGCTGATGGATGAAAGTGTCATTTGCAGGGAAAAGCTCCAAGCTGGCAATGGTGAGAGCATCACACAGAATGGTTGCATTCATGCTGAGCAGCTCTAGAGCTGTCATCATCAAACCAGGCCTCCGTGTTCTCCGATACCTGACATAATTTGTGAATAATGAATAGGGCCAGGTCCCTAATGATCTCCAGGTGTGATTTAACCTGGATTAAGCCTTCCACATACTGTATTTAGTTCTTGCAAGGTCATTTCACTTCTAATAAGTATTGGTTTGCACATGCTCAGCTGTGTTCTTGTCCTTTAATGCAGTAACTGACAGATGGTAGCAAAATATCCTTTTATAAAGAAACCTGCTGAAGGAGACTGCTTAGGCCCTCAGAAAATATAATTTGCCAAGTAAAAGATGGTCTCCAGGAAAGAAAGGAAATACTGTAATGTAGTATATATTAAATAAATTTCCTCAGGCATCTGATGATCAGTAGCTTTTTCTCATGTCAGAGACGTGACCTAACTCTTTGTTTCCAATTAGTTATTGCCTCATTCACCTTTGTACTCTTAAAAGTCTTGTTTCTGTGGGTTGGCATAAGTAGTGCCTCTAAAAATGTGCAAATTAACTGCGTGAGGATTTGTTTTAGAGGCTTCATAGGTACCGGATTTGTATCTGCAGTGTGTAGTCAGATACTTAAGGTTTTCACTTGCGCTATAAATAGCCTGGCTTCTGGGTGAATTTCACACTCATTTTTTAGACACAATTATGCCCATTTCTCTTAAATCACTATTAATTCCTAGCAGCATTGCTACTGAATCCTTTATGTGAGCATGCACACACCCTGGATTTTCTCATGGCCTGTGCAAGCTTATTTTGGCAGCTGAATACATCAGCTGTCTAATGTATCATCTTCTGCGAGGCAGGTGGTTTTGGATGGCAGAAACCTCTCCTTTTCAAACCTCCAATAACCTGCAACCTTCTGAAGCCAGTCATTTGCTGAGTAGCTATCTTTGCCACTCTTAGTTTCCTCAGGCTGCCCCATAACCATTTTTTTACTCTTTTATCCCCTGTACCAACACACAGTTAAGGAAGACTTGATGTGACTTCCTTTAGCATCCATTTACACTGTCCTATAAATCATACAACATGTTCTGCACAGGCTCAAATCTAGGCATTAGATGAGAATCCATCTGTTCATTGCTCCCAATGGGAATATAGTTTCTTTCTCTGCATCACTGCTTGACAAAACTTCTAATCCCATCTGAAACTGCTAGTGTGTTGTGTTTGGGGCCTGTTATATCAAATATACATCTCTCTGCTCTCTCCTTCCCCTCTCAGGAATTGTTATTTTTAAACTGCTTTTCTATCTCTGATGGAGTCAAAAGTTACATCTTAACCTATACAAGCTCTGGTGGCATATGCTGCTCAGCTATTCTGCTGCAGTATCATGAAATCTGTCATCCAGCTCTGTTCTTCTGGTCTGTAACCCCCTTGTCATTACTACCCTTATGGAGAAATTCATGCAAACACTTCTCTCATTTCTGTTTCTTGCCTGGGTTTTCTTTCACTGTTCTTAGATGTCATGGCCAGCAGTAGATGAGTATTTGCATTAGCTTTTGGCTCTATCAGGAGGGGAATCAACAGTACTGGACAACTTAGAGCATAGTCCTGCTGCTACAATGTGCCCTGTGCATTACAACACTACAAGAGTGTTAGTGTCAAGGTGATGTAGCTGCCAGAGCGCTCAGGCACACCATTATTTGAAGAGGGGATCGCTGCAACTCTTGAACTGCAGACTCCTTCCTACCTGTAGGTGTCTAAATCTGTGCTATAAGTTCCCCTTTGCAGCCAATGAGGAATATAAAACAGGCACCTCTAAGGTCCAATTTATTTCAACCTAAAGTAAATAACTAAAATACATGACTAAAAAATTTCATTTCTACTGACTAAAAAGGCAGCAAAGTCTGACTAGCTTACATGTACACAACTACACATAGATCTCTGGCCAGAAGACATGCGTCAGTTGGCCACTACAACTGCAGCAAACCACAGGTGACTCGATGCATCTCACTCCTCCTTCACTGTGGCCTAAGGTCTGTCAGAACCCCTTGTTGCTGGGGGCTAAGGATCTACATATGCGTGTATGTCACTCAAATGCACATACAGTTTCTTAGCTGACACATGGCAACTTGCTCCTCTTCACAACGCGAGGGAACATTTGAACCCATGATGCATCTGAGCCACCAGGCACTGCGTATCAGGCAGCTGCTTCTTGGAGCCAGCCTATAAAGAGCACAAAGTACATCACTGGGGGTTTTTTGTGTTGGGTTGGTTTTGGGGTTTTTTTTATTGAGAATGAGGAAGTGCCTGACTCTTTTTACCAGTCTCACAGATTGTGAAGCCTTTAGTCATCTATAAAGAGGCACATTCGACATAGTTTGGAGGTTTTGCCTTTTTTTAGCATGGATTATTCACACCTTCAGAAATGCCCTAGAGTGACCCAAGCCCAGTGTCTCTCTTTTATTGCCAAAAATGCTTGCCAATAATTTTGGAGCAAAGCACCACCCCAAGTGCATGTTCTAGATGTGCCACATCATTACACCAAATAGTGCAAATTTGCTGGCATTTAAGGCTGCCCAGTCCCATGCAATCTCCAGCTGCTTACCTTGACTCCCCCAACCAGAACAAGAGCACCATTCCTGCACAGCACACCACCGTACCTCCAGCCCCATGCTCTCTGCTTCCAAGGTTTTGCATGGAACTACTGAGCATTTCACAGAGCAGATGCAGCAGCGTGAGTCACTGTCTCAGCAAGGAACGAGTTACTGCTATGTTGCTCCATGGAAACAACCCATGTATATGCTTGAATATTGTGCAATGCACTTTGAGGCCACTTACGTGCCTCTGAAATAGAGATAATTTGTTTACTTCACATATACCCAGGAGAAGAGTAATCTGTGTCACACAACTGCCTGGGTACTTCTGATGGAGCATCTAACATGTGATAGCTTGGCTGAGATTTGGATGGTTCAGGCCACCTGCTTGCAGAAAAAGGAGCTCAAAGCAGGAGCCTTGACTTGTTTGCCCTTAAGGCTGGCTCTCTTTCAGTCCTCAAAACAAGGTAGCTTTGTGCAAAACACCCATTAGAATTGGTCCCTGAAATGTGCTGACCCCCAAAACGTGCCTGGGAATTGTCTGGGACAGGGGCCAACACCATGCCAGACACTGGTCGAGGAGTATAACAGGGTAGATGATTGTGCTCCAGTAGCTAGAAACACTGCTAGTGATTGTTGAATTTACTCTTATAGCTGTAGCTGAATGTTTCCATCCATGTTCCCTAGAGGTGGTCTTTGTTTACAGATTTAATAGCTAGAAAATGTGATTTTTCTGACCATCCCCACGCTTTATGGCACATCTTTCAAGCTGTTGTAATGAAGAAGCACTAGCAACAAAGTGATTACTTACTCCACAAGCAAAATTTCTCTTCTTGGCAGCTTTTGGCATAAAGTTACTTCAAAAAGTGTCTTAATATTCTACAAACAAATCAATTATTTATAATTGTCTTGTCTTTAGATGTGAATTAAAGTAATGGTCTTTTTTATAGAGTTGAAAGGAAGCAGACAGGTTTAATTGCAGTAAATGAAATCTACATGACCTCCTTTTTTTTTAAAACTTTTTAGGAAATCAATGTATTGACAGTAGCATTGGTCAACCAAGACAGAGAAAAAAATTCAGAGAAACGAAGCCCAGGTCTAAAATCAGAGAAAGAGGCACTATTAATAGGTAAGATAACCCCAAAGAATATTTTTGAGAACAAAATGCCTTTTAAGAAGTTTTTGTTTTGTGTATGTGTTTATGTGCATCTCTGTGCTAATAAAAGTAAAAAAAAAAAAGATATTTTTTTATTTTTCATCTATATTCATAATGGCTTTTAGTAAGAGAAATCCTAAAATACAAGTGAACTTTTCCTTTTTAAAAAATTCTGCAGAGTTTAATGAAAGGATTTCAGGTATGAAGAAAATTGCAGGATCTGCATTTAGACTTGCAGCATGAATGTGTGAAGACTTTATTTACATCAAGATTTAGCAGGCTAGAATTGTATAACTTGTTCTCTGATTATAAGACAAAATGGTGAAGGAGAAAGGGATGGAAATAATATTAGCAAACTACCAAACAAAAAATATGTATGCTGGATGTATTAAGCAAGCCAGATTTATGCTTTTGACATTAGGTGGGGGAATTAGCAATATGAATATTTATAAAGAATACCACAAGGACTGTCATATCCTTTACCTAGAATAAAATCTTTAAAATAAACTCTTAAAAAGTGCCTAAAAGCTAAAGCTTATAGGCAGTGGGCTAGCTAACTGGTACCTAGCACTTAGCCACACAGGAATGCTGGCTGTGCCCATGCTACCCTTGGAGGGAACGTGCCCCATTCATATCCGTGCACGTTTTGCATTTGGCTTCAGTGGGGCAGGTTTTCATGGAGCCTAAAGGCCCATGGTCCAAAGTGCTCCCTATGGCATGGTTGCTATTCACGGGAATGCTGACCGGAAAGACCAGGTTTCATGTCTTCGGTTTGGTCTTTTCACAAAATCAGCGGTGTTCCGGTAGGTGATAGTTCCAGAACTACCTTAATTTGTTTAAATGCAACTCATTTGCATCTGCTAAGCACCAGGAAAGTTGCTGGTTTATTGCTGGGGCACGGATTCAGACAGTTCAGTCAAAAAAGGTCATTTAAAAGTGAAGAATGCATTTAAATGTTTAAAGGGCTTAGTACACAAACTTTCTGTGACTGGTGAGATGTGGAACAGCAGGATGTACAGAAATGTATGAATTGATTTAATTTTGCTTGTTATAATAAAATTCAGAACTTTTAATTGCAATGGACAGTATTTGATGTGTTCAAAGATAACTTCTGTGAGAAGGGTCACAAGGATAGGATTTTAAGAACAGAACAACAAACTTTTTTTTCTAGGTCACTCATAATTTGACTGTGACAAGTGGTGGCAGTGTCCCAAAGTGGACACCAGCTGTGCAGTGGCGCACTCAGATAAACAGTGTAATCTCAGTCCAGATATTACTGGTCATAATACCCCCACAACTGGCTCATTGTTACAGTTCAAAGGCAAAAGATTGCTCAAGGTGGATTTCATGTTATCTCTTCCTCTGAGGCATGTTTAGATGCGGCAAGGGAAAAACGGGCCTTGCCTCCATCTATTCACTAAGTTTGTCTATATTTTACAAAATTCAATATTGTCTTAGAGGAAAAGAACATAAAAAAAATACTAAAAAACTATCATGGAACTCCAGTCAATAAGTGCAAAATATTTTCAAATGACTTTTTATTTACATTATATGAAAGAGCTAGCTTTGAACATCCTGAATTGAAAAGCCTTGGGAACACACATAACAAACGCGATGCCACTGGTAAAATGTGATTTGAATACAAATTGGATTTCCAGTCAGCCCATCCAAGTGTGATGGTCTTGGCTTTTGCTTCAAGAGCTCTTGTGCGTGTTCTTATGGTCACGCACAGCACAAAGAAGGTAACTGCTGCCAGGACTCACCATAGTATAAAATTAAATACACGCCCCTCCCTTTGCAGGATCAGAAGTTTGTAAATGCTATTGGAAAAATGAGGGAGGAAAAATGGTGTTCTTTGCAAAGCCAGTCTAAAATGAGTTAAATTTTACTTATCATTTTCAACCGTGGCCAGTATTTGGGGAAAAATGAAATCCAAGATTATCCTAATTCATGGAGCATCAAGAAAGCAGTATGGCCTGCAGTACACAAGATACAGTGACCCATTTTTGTCATTTGTAAGCATTTTTAATCCTGGTGTTTATGCTTTAAATATAAGGAACTTCCCCCAGGGTCATTCAGCTAAGAAACCCTTCCAAACAGAGTTGAAAATATTTGCTCTGATTCTTACAGTCCAACTCTCCCCAAACAGTAAGTAACACACATGCCATTTTGTATTTTCACTGTTCCTTTAGAAGAGGAGAAATTGGATACTGCTTTTAATAGCAATTCTGATGCCCCAAATCTTGTTTTCTCTGGTCATCATTATTATGCTGTCACTTGATTTTCACTGCAGAAAAAATCTGTAGACTTAGATCGTGATTCCTCCTAAGCCACTTTTATTCCCATACCTTTTAAAACGATCCTGTAAATAACAATGAAGATAGACAAAACTGACTCTCTTTTAAGAAAAAGTAAGTAAGTAAATATGTCATAAAGGATTTGTGTTTTCTTCAGCAGCAGTTAGGGGTAATATGGATTAAACCCTTTTCATAACCAGCATCAGCGTAATTACTAAAAAAAATTGAGGGAGTGAGGTTTCTGACAATTATATGAAATATTTTCACAACAGAGCATCCAGTGAAGGGGAAAAAAGCAATAATTTTACCATTGCAATATCCACAATTTTATATTGGTAAATCAAGCATAAAATTGGTAGTTGAAATGCTTCCAGCAAGTCTTTGTTTAGAAATTCCTTTATTCATCAGTATATTATCTTGGTCACTTACTTGCTAACTGCTGTCATTCCTGAAGATGAGCTATTGTGTTTACCATATTATTATGACTGTATTAAAAATGTGCCATTTTGTTATGTTTATTGGGTTGTGTAAGAAAAATAAGAATCATAATTCATACTGAAAAACCTGCAAGAACAGACTATTCAGAATTATTTTGCTTATTTTAATGATACATTGTCTAAGGTAATTTCAATACTTTGTGTGCATTTGTTTTTAATACAGGTATCATATCCACATTTCTTCACGTCCACCCTTTTGGAGCCAATATAGAATATCTTTGGTCTTACATGCAGCAGTTGGACTCTAGGGTAAAAAAATTTAATCAAAATCTGTTTTCTCTATAGAAATATTGTATTATTCTTTACTGCAGGTTGAACTCTTCATGCATTTCCATTAGAAAGATAATGGGATATGGGGCTTGGGGGTTTGCGTCTTTATTCATTCGCAAATTACAGTGCACGTGCTTGTGTTGAGGTCTTTGCCTCGCGCTGCTTAGCTATTCTTTGTGGCAAAGAAGAGCAGAAATTTAAATGGCAAAGACTAGCAGCTGATTTTATGATACATGATCCTGAAATACAGCTGAGGAGAAAGAAAGCAGAACAAGAGGCAGGTGTAGCCATGGCCATCAAACTGTGCAGAGTTTTAGGAGATGACTCCTTATTCTTCTAGAAGTTGTTAGTCATGGGTCACGCTGAACATGAACTTTCATGAACACGTGAATGGACCATGAAGCATACCCTTCGTCTCCACATGGAAGCAGAGAGCGCCTCATAAAGGAATTGGCTGACCCTATTGCTAAATTCAGAGAAGGTGTGGTCAACACAAAAGTGAGGCCAACACACTACAGTGTGCAAAGTGTTTTTTAATGCATCAGTTCGTACAGTCCATAGTCAATACATACCATAGGATAAGATTCTTTGACTTACTTTTAAATATCTACTGTAGGATGAGATGAAATCAAGACCCAAAAGGGCCTATTCGTCTCTGCTGAATATTAAGCAAGTCAAGGGTGAGAAGCTCAGCTGTGAAATAGCTGCCTTTGATCAGGTGAATGCTACCCTAAGTGCTAAACAACGGCCCTGCAGGATGCTAGACTGCATGAGATACGTAGCAGATGCAGGGGTCACCCTGCAGTTAGCCACAGCTCTGATCCACATCTGCCAATACTTCCTTTGGACATGGTGATGATAGTGCTTGCCCAGATCTTCTTGCAACATGGAGTCAGGATGTAGCTATGGTGTGCACCTGGACTCAGAATGTGAGTGGCACTCCTTGTGTGGTGGTCATTAGACACAACTCCTTTGATCCTGGTAATATTTTGTTCCTGAACACTCCCTCCAGCCATGCCACCCATAGCCAAGATCACCTTCCAGCTGCTTTGATGGGTTGTTTTGATGGGCTGTTTCATGCCTCTGGAGGATCCTTCCTCTGTTTCGACGAAAAAGTGTATAGCTAAAAGCAGAGGAGATTCTGAGCTAGAAGCCCACTGGAAATAAGACAGGTTGCATGGATGAGTGAGGAAGGATGATGAAGTTCTTAGGCACTAGCTTCAGGCCATGGCAACTCAGATTTGCTAGTGCTTTACAGTCCACTGCTACCCACAGTGAAAAGGTAGGATGAGGATGGTAGAAAGAGGTGAGAAACTGGTGAATTGCAATTTTTTTTTAAAATTGATTTTATTAAGACCTCATACATCCAGAGCTTCACACCTGCAACTATTCCTCTTCTGCTTCTCTATTCCCTGCCTCTGCCACATGTACACGTTCCTTCATCTTGACCCCAGTTCCTGCAGCACCCAGTCTGCCCAATCTCCTCAGTCATCTTTCAAGTCCTTCCTTAACACACAGCGTTTGGCTAAGTTTCAACTGCTTTTTCCCCTGGCTGACCCCTCCAGCTCTGTATCTCTTGAGTGACAACAGCAATCATTTAAAATGCCGGCCCCTTGGGCTCCAGCCCTGCTGCTCATTGCTTCTGCCCACTGAGCTCTTCAACTTTCTCCCCCTTCACTGCTGTGGTCCCTTCTTGTGCATTGTCCGTGGGCTCTGTCCTTGAATTTCCACTCACATGAGTAATGTGTTGGCTTCTGTGAGGCTGCCAAGATCCAAATGCTTAATTTGCAAACACGGCTTTCATGGAAGGAGCATTGTCTCCATCTCTCCGAGGTGGAGCCCCTGCAACTACCACTGGACCTACCTGCTGCGTAATAAACATGAGCCACAAAATTTGACCTCGCTGGTTTATTTTGGAAGTAACTGCTTGTAGCAACAAATTACTTTTTAATAGCGCAATCCAGAGATGCAATCTCAGGGATGAATTTCAATTATTTCCATGGTTAGCCTGTCATTCCTCACCTGAACAGGAATGATAAGGTCAGCATACCTGTGCAGGCCGTGGGCTCAGCATAGAGCTCAGATGCATTACCCAAAGGTAACCAGCTATCCGTTACTGCCATAAGAGTACATAAAAGATGGACCTGATTACTCTGGGGCTTCAGACTGCCTCCAGCACTGATTTTTGGTGCCACCTTTAACAAATCATTTAATTTTTCTGCTGCACTAGCCTCTTCATGAAAGTAAGAGGTGATAGATATTTTCTCGCCTCCCTTGGGTGGAATGAGGTATAATTAGCATATTTTATGTTTATATACTGTTTTAAAAAGAAAACTTTTCACCGTGGAAGGTTCCTACTAATGTGAATAAGCAGAAATACCATCATTGCCAGAGAAGCCTATCAAACCATGGAGATACCTGTGGATAACAGGCAGCACCCATAGATTTCTTTACTGCTCCTTTCATGACCATCACTTTAGAAGAAGTAGCAGTAGGATGAAATGGTTCATTTTCCATGACTGTTCATTTCTTGACTTTCCTACTGATTGTACCAGAAAGGTTGCCTTTGTGAAAGTGTTTTCTGCAATGAGAGCATCTTTCCCATTAGGAAGGTGACCAGTCATTAAGGTTTCAAAACCATAAAAACATCCTGAGCAATGCCGAGTCAGGAAGTTTACTGCTTAGTTATCTGGAGCTGCTGAACTGGGCCAAACTGGGAGAAGATGGCTCCATGGATAGTCAGCCCTAAGTAACAGAAGTGAGCTGATTAAAAATAAAGTTCCTGTGTTAGTTTTTTTTTGCAAGAGAAAAACTGATGGAGCTGGGAGGAGGATTCAAGAGCTCATGGGATGGGAAGGAAGAATAAGGTCCCATTTGCTTCCTCCTCCTCACAAGTATACCCACAACTGTAGTTCTTAGATGGACTTTGTACCATACTGTGTGGCAGCAGCCCTGACATAACAGTTGTAATTCTTTTACGGTGGGATGCCACTGACAAAAGCAGAATCATTCCTGCAAGGAATCTGCACTTGCTTAGGAGTCTGGAAATTCATGTCAGGCTAAGGTTAAAAAAAATAATAATGGTTAGTTGTTTTCATCTGGCCTGGATTTCCCGCCCCCCCACCCCGTCCCTTATTTCTGTTCTCCATATTTCCTCTTTCCAATCTACAGGGCAGCTTTCTCACTTTAATTTTACCTTTATTTCTTTCTCAGATCTCTGCAAATGAGATAGAAATGCTTTTGATGAGACTGCCACGCATGTTTAAACAAGAATTCACTGGTGTAGGAGCAACACTGGAAAAGAGGTGGAAGTTTTGTGCCTTTGAAGGAATTAAAACTATCTGACTGTGACTAGTAATGAAGCTATGCAGAAGACGAATTCCTAGAGCATGGCAGGGTTATAAAATATTAAAGTAAGAAATTTGGGTTTGGGCACATAGTAGTATGTTTTCAAAGTTATCCAAGCCTAATTTTAGTTACATTTGTGACGTTCTCTTGTGAGTGGAAATGTAGTTGTGCACCAGTTCCTAAAATAAAATAAAATTTTTTTAAAAAAGTTTCAAAATGTGACAGATCTGTTTCCTATGAAAACTGAAGAAAGATGCCACAGTCATAATGATTTCAAAATACTACATGTCCTACTTCTAAGAAAAGCTCATTGAGCAAACAGTTAAGGAGAAAGATTGCCCGGTTATGGTCGCTAAGCTACAGCGATGTATATGTAATATGTAGTAGAACTCATTAAGTTTCGTTATTGAAAGTTCTTTCTGTTCAGTGAGAAAATTGAGTAATTTTACAGTGAGGAAAAGCATACCAAAAGAAAACTTGAAGATGTGTCTGAAGTTATTGTATTTTGTAAATTAAGTTATATGCTGTACCAGGGATTTTTGCCTTATTGAAAGAGGCCTGAAAATGTGATTGGAGTCCTCAAGAATGCTTTATCAAGAATATTATTTTTCTAATGTAACTATTCTCCATTATAGGTTCTTTTAACATGGATTGCATATCAATTTTCATAAACATGTAAATAAGGAGGAAACCAGTGTTACTGTATTGTATTTGGTATGTAACATTCAGGTTTATGCATCAAAATAAATATTCAGTTGCATTACTGTTACAAATTTTATAGCAGATATATTAATTTTTATCAATAAATATGACTTCTACCATATTGTTCGTACAAGTTTTTCTTCTATGTTTTTGTATTTTTATCAATCCAGCAGGAGTCTCCTGGCACTTATCTTTCTCCTACCTGAACTGCAGATAACTTGGTTAAATCAATTAGGAAGCAAAAAAGAGCTTGCAATATTAGCTAAGATTAAAATAATTAAAAATACTGGTGGAGGAAGTACCAGCATGGACTTTTGTTTAGCTGAACAGATTTCATTTCTTTTTTCAGACAAGCAGCCAGGTTTAAAATGGGCACCTTCAAATTTCTCATATTCAGTGTTGTGTTGGGTAGTTGCGATGCATCCAGTTAGTTACTCCTTCTAACTCCCAGCTAACGCTTCTGGCCTTTGGCCAGCCAAGGAAAAGAATAACTCACTTCTGGTGGTGTCCCTTAAGTAGGGACATCTATGTACATTATCATTTAGGATTTACTGTCAAACACACAGTACTCCAGCACTCCTGTAAGAGCCAGCAAAAGCTGAAGAAGTGGGTGTATCAACCAAGCCGGGAGGGTGTGGAAGGAATCGCTCCTCCCAGAGCCCTACTTTAAAGAACTGCATCAGTACAGCATTTAGCATGGTGCTGGATAAGAAACAGCAGCCCCCTGCAGGTCACACCTCTGTGTAGGCAGAGGAGCCAGCCACAAGAGAGCTGGCCCTGTAAAGTGGGGCACCAACAGCAGGAAAGATGGCAAATTGCAACAGATGCAGGGAGTATCCAGATACATGTCAGAGTGATGTTTCACTCAGGTTCTTCAATAAACAGCAATTAGTGTCAAATGCAATTAGTCATGAAGGAACTCTCCTACCTGGCTGTTAGTGATTACTGCTTTAGGACCTATTTCTCTTCTGGCATCTACCTGGACTATAGAAATATTAAATGAAATGTTAATTGTGTACAAAAGGGAAAAAAGAAAGAGGCTTAGCAGGTCTATTATGGGAGAAAATTATGCTTTCAGCCAGTACACGCAAAAATTTTTTTAAAGAATATACATCTCTATTACAGTTGCTACAGAACCTGTGTTAAGGCAAGTTACTCAGGTGAAACTAGTAATTATATGCCAGTTATGTTAATGAAAATTAACTAGTTTAGTCCAAATAACAACTCTTTCTTCTCTTGTGATCATACAGATCTATGAATAATTCAGGCAAAAATGTGTTAGGTCTGACAGCTCTTATTTAAGTACTGTAACATACATGTGTATGGATGGCACTTAGGCTGGGGAAAAGAGATGTGAGAAAACTTTCACCTCAGCTTTCTTCATGCCATACTTATTCATGATATTCTGTCCTCCCTTTTCTCGTGTCCTCCTTTTTTCCCTTTAGCTCATCTCCTCTCCCACAAAACAACTCCAATCCCAGATAGCCACAAAACATCTTAAAACTGACGGGACCTTGTAACCTAATCACCATATTTGCTCTGCATGTGTTTTCTCTTCCTTTTTCCTTCCTGGGTTTTTCATGTCTGTCTAGACCATAAGTGCTTTACGAGAGAGTGACTTTTTAGTCCTTGTGTAGTACCAGCTAAAAGGGAACCTCCTTCACTGGCCTTTAGATACCACCATAGAAGATCTAAACTTTAAGTATAAATAGCATGTAGGCGTCCTTCAATATTGTAACGTATCAGCTGAGATCGTGAAACTCGAGGGGATCCTCATGAGGATCAGGTTGGGCCCCAGAACTGGCTCTGTGTGCTCAGTGACTGTGGGGGAAACTGTATTAAAATGCTCAGCTCCATCACTTAGCTGCTGAAATGTCCTTATGATGGCCCTTGGGGATCCAGCTGGGGGTCCTGAAGTGATACAATGGGATGAATATCAAGGAAGCCACCTTTGAAAGACATCTAGACTGGACATTAGGAAGCATTTCTTTACCGAGAGGGTGGTCAAACACTGGAACAGGCTTCCTAGAGAGGTTGTCAATGTCCCAAGCCCGTCAGTGTTTAAGAGGCATTTGAACAATGCCCTTAATAACATGCTTTAACTTTTGGCCAGCCCTGAAGTGGTCAGGCAGTTGGACTAGGTGATCGTTGTAGGTCCCTTCCATCTGAAATAGTCTATAATCTATAGTCTATTCTCTCTCTTGCAGATATGTTACTGATATATGGAGAAGACAGTGATGTTCTGCAAGCCAACGTTAAATTCTGGCGAGGCACCCTTTAGCCAGCTTGTCTGAGCAGTAGTGTCTGTCAATCTGATGCCATCATAGCCCAGAAAGATGTACTCCATATGAAGTGTATCACCGGAGGATGGCTGTAAACCCCTGGAGCCATGGCTGTGGGTGACGGTGCTCTTCTTAGCACTGTCGGGCATTGCAGCAAAGCAACTTGTGAAAATGGCATGAGGTGATGCCACTTAACTATGATAAAAGAAGAAGTCAGTATGGTGGAAAAGGAGAAGAGCCTTTCTCTATGTCACTTTATCCTGATGACTGGAACAGAGGCTTGGTCAGCTGCAGCAGAAGTCAGCATGCTCTCCCCCAGAAAAAGGAGGATGTTGAGGTGGCCAAGTGGTACTTAGTGAAATGAGGCAGTGCAAGACCTAAAGCAAGTTTCTCCAGCTGAGTCAGGTTGAAGGAGGATGTACATTTGGCAAAGACTCAAAGCCATTTACAGTTAGCAGGATCCTCACAATGGTAGTAGGAAAGAAAACAAGGGAAGGAAAGGCCAAAGAGACACCACATCATCAGGCTAACCACGAGCTCAAGAGGTGAGACACTGCAATAGCCTGGCATGCAACTGCAAGTTACAGCAAAAAGTTACAGCAGTGTCCCCTCTTCTTAAATATGGACTAGTGGAGCAGGAGATTTGGTTTCTAACTGCCCAAAACATGCTAAGGGTATTTTGCAGGGAGTTGTAAGCTCAGTTGCCTGAACTCCTGTTCTCCCAGGAGAGCTTTTTAGCTCATCCTTGGCTTTGAATTGTCTTGGAGTGGTGGCAGGGTTGACTTTCATCAGTTTAGAGGGCCAGCCTCTTACTGCACTGTATTTGATTCCCACTTGAAGGCTTAAGAGATGTGCAAAACCTCTTGGGCAAATGTGCATTTCACCCTGCACATTCAAGGGAGATGAGTGTAACCTCTCTGTTAAACTGCATTTTATGCCCACAAGAGATAGCAATGTTTGATGACGACTGCATTATCCCCATTACTAAAAAGGAAATTTCTAATATCTCCTTGTGCTATTGCACATAGTGGAGTCTAATTGCTTATTGAAGTGTGCATGTTTTGGGCAAAATTTGCATGTTCACGACTGCCAGAGCATCACATTCACTTAAGGAACAGCTACACTGAGATTTAGAGAAAATCCTATATCAAGCTATGCTACATTTAGCTACACATCATGTACAGTAAATGCTGTGGAATTTAAAGCTAGAAAATTTGTCATAACAGCATTCTGGGTGGTCTGTTTAAGTCAAAATTCTGGTCTTGCAAGCATTGTATTATTTAAAATCAGAATGGCTTTGACAGTCAGTGCGACAAAAATGTTCTGCACTGATGTGAGTTGATTTGGGGAACAAGGTTTGGGGAGAGGAAGAGGGAAAGGAATTGGTTGGTTTGGGAGATATATTCTTTTTGTGCCTCCAGTACCAGTAGTAGCCAGGTTTGATACAGGACTCATGTTCGCTTTGTCCACTTAACAAATGCATCACAGAGTTCAGCATTTGAAGTGTAAGGCTTTTATCATCTTTTTCCTGTGAAAGGGTACAAGTTGTCCCTTGACTTGTCACTCTGGTTACCCTGATAAGATCTGCAGCACTTTTACCCTAACTTTTCCCTCAAAAAGTAAGTAGGAACAGCAGCAAATTCCTTCTGGTTCTGTTCTGTAGTCAATCTCCTCTGGAAGCAACTGCTGAGATGCTCAGGAAAAAAGAAGTCTTCCTGCATTTATTGGCATTAAGTGCCTATAAAGCAGGACACAATCTGGAGGAAGCCACTCCTTCTTCCAGACACTCTGAGAGCACAGTCAGTGTGACTGCTTGGTCTGCAAAGGGTGACTATTTACTTACTGAGTTAAAATTGAATGTTTCAAAAAAAAAAGTAAGCTGACTGAAAAAGACTGAAAAAGCAGCCAAATCAGGAAATTATGCTTACAAGGTGCAGATCCTCTAACTACATAAACCCATTACATTGAATACGTGGAAATCCTAATTTGTAAACAAAATCAAATGGATATGCTCAGGAGTACCTTTGATTAAGTGTTTTGCCGCACACTGGGTAATAAACATTGTGCCTGTTCAGACTTAATGGGCTGACTCCAATGTCATACTCCCTCTCAATAGGGACATTTGGGGGGCAGCAAGAAGAAAAATATATGTATTCCTTTAAACTTAGCAGAGAGCACTCCTGCAATCCTACCACAGCCATATTATAACCAGTTGCTCAGAATTCTGGCTGGTAAGTACTTCTTGCCAGTTTGTGTACTTTTATATACATAACATTGAAGCCTAAAAAAAAATCATCCACTTGGACTGCTCATATCTTAGCCATGTCACAGCTAATTCTGTAGTGATCCCAATAGCATATGGTGGATTAAAATACATCTCCCATAAAAGCATCCAGCCATAATCAAAGTTATCAAGTGGTGGAAAAGACATTTTTTTGCTTGATAGTTTGTTAGAAGAGATTAGCATTATCAAAATTGTGTCCTTACTTCCTAACTTGATTTTTTCTGGCTTCTTCTAGCCAGTTTTGCTTTTCTCTACAAGATTAAATAATCCTTTAGTACTGCATA